TCGGGTGCAATTTCGGTTGTTAGAATTGTTGTGGAGCTTGATGCTGCTTCAGCCTTTGAGCATAGCGTCCTCGATTGTCTTTCTTATTGCGCAGAACTCGGGGAGACGACACTTCAAAACGGCGATTTCTTTTCTTTTCATTTAATTCATGTTTCACTCCTTTACAAAATCTCTTCAACATTCTATTTTCCCGTCCACGATCAAACTCTATTGTATGCGGATTCGCTTTAACGAAGGTTCTTATTTGATCGTTGTCCACATGCGATGGCTGTCCACAACGCTCTTTAATGTTTTCGCCATCTGTTTGATATTTTAAAACCATTATTGTTCTAGGTACGATGATTAATGTTTCCGAGACCAAATGCGCTGTTGATATCGCGAGCTGTTTCCGCTGATTTTCGACTGACTTTAAATTAAAGCAAGCAAATCGCACGAATTTGTTTTCTGTCCATGTCATTTTACATGTTCCGTAACTATAAACAATGTGTTTTCATACCAAATTGTCAACTCTGACACTTCTTTAATTTTATTGGCCGGCATACGTCGTTCTTAATGGACATTTCTCAATTCTCGACTTCCTATAATTCCTTGAAACACTGAGTCCCCTTCAGCCACTTCATTAATGCAGTAAGAAGACAGAGGTTGAGACATGTTAACATTTCGATTGCTCTCGTCAGTCGCGACGCAATACAGGCAAGACAAAACACGCAATATATAGGGTCCACATTTAGTAACAAAGATGCTAAGGAAGATAAGAATGATAAGAATGACGTAATCAGGTCCAAGGCAATCTAATTGATTGCCTCAATTGTTTCTGGGCACAGAGCACGGGACAATTCAACCTTATCAGTAGCGCCTCACCAATTGCCAACAACGTCGGGTTCCTGTTGCGCAAGCTTTACAAGCGTTATGTTGATGATATTCTCGTCTTCACCAATGAGGAACATTTTGGCCGTCTTTCTACCCTCCTGAACTCAATTCATCCTAACCTTTCTGTATCACAGGAGAGGGAACAAGAGAACAGACTGCCGTTTTTGGACGTGCTCATCAAAAGAAGGACCGATGGCACACTGCAGCTCACTGTGTACAGAAAAGCGACCTGGGGTGGACAATACCTACATTTTTCCAGCTTCGCCCCGGTCGCATACAAGCGCGGCCTCGTAAAAACTCTCTTCTACAGAGCCAGGCAGATTTGCAGTCCGGAATTGCTCAAGGCTGAAGAAGAGTTTTTATACCGGACTTTGCTAGCCAATGGGTATCCGGAAAAATTCATTCAGATTCATAGCAGACCCCCGAAGGAGAAACTGCCAGTACAAACAGCGGAGAAGAAGGATATTTATTCTTACCGTTCAAGGGGGATCACGTGGCAAATGGAGTTGGTCACAAGCTGAAGTCCGCTCTAACGCGCACCTACTCTACCGCACAACTACGACTTATCCACACTACACGAAGGATTCCTCTCCAGAGCCGTCCGAGTAGCTCGCCAATCAGTTCGGCCTCTAACATCATCTATCAGTTCACTTGCAGTTGCGGTGACACTTACATAGGCAAGACTGGTCGCCGGCTGGCTCAAAGGACGGCGGAACACTTCCCAATGTGGCTAAGGCAGTTGCTGTTTAACCAAGGCCGAGCGGACCAAAGAATGAACCGGAACCCTGCCTCGTCTATCACCAAACACCTCATGACCACTCGTCACCAGGTGAACCCAATCGATTCATTCAAGGTGTTATTGCGCAACAGGAACCCGAGGTTGTTGGCAATTGGTGAGGCGCTACTGATAAGGTTGAATTGTCCCGTGCTCTGTGCCCAGAAACAATTGAGGCAATCAATTAGATTGCCTTGGACCTGATTACGTCATTCTTATCATTCTTATCTTTCTTAGCATCTTTGTTACTAAATGTGGACCCTATATATTGCGTGTTTTGTCTTGCCTGTATTGCGTCGCGACTGACGAGAGCAATCGAAATGTTAACATATCGCAACCTCTGTCTTCTTACTGCATTAATGAAGTTCCTATAATACCGTTTTGTCAGACACACCTGATTGGTACTTTTCATTCGCCTGTGTCTTTCATCATCCTCTGTGTTGTTGGTTGGTTCCGATGTGCTTTAATATCTGTGCTACTACCACTGTCATACCCTGTGTAAGCGAAGCAGTATTGTCATGGACACAATTCTTTCCCAGCTCCTCTTTCGTTGTTCTGATTGCTATCTTGTTGGGTGCAAACGTGTGTTGGCGATACAGTTTTCACCCCTACATTTGTGTATGCTTTTAGCTTGGGATTTGTTTGTTCTCTTTGTTCTGCGAGCTGTTTGGTTTGCAACAATTTAGTCGCCGAACTAGCTAGTACTCTCGATTCGACTTCGATTGCAGTGGTTTGATTACATCACTAAAATGATTTGATTGTCGAATCTCAGTCAATCTGGTGAAACACATTGATCAGGCTGTGGTTGGAATTTCCCCAAATCTGCGTGTAAACGTATAATCCTAATTATGTCAGCCGATAGTCTGCGTTACTTTAACTTTGTACACTATGTGTCGTAGTTTCTATTTATGCGGTTTGCCTCACATCTGACGGTTCTGTCTACTACTCGTGAGGAGCCATCTTCGAATTGATTTTATCGCTTTTTGCGGACTTAAATATAGAGAGAAGCATTTTGCACATCATTGTGGTGTAACTCCCCCACTATTCGATACAGGAGCCAGGAGCATCCTGGTACCTTCCTGTTTCTGGGTGGCAGTTGGTGATTGGATATACGCGCCAATTTAGTGAATGGCAGGTGCGGCGTTTCACCATGTTCACGCATATTTCGACGGTTTTCCGATTCAACCACACCCATATATTGCCTTGCGTGTATTGCAGTAGTTCGCCATCCTACCTTCCTTCCTCATCAATGACCCTCCCGTCTTATTTGACCATATCAAAGTTTACAAGGAACTTGCAAGACTGAAGCCATGTAAGACTAGTGGCCCTGATTCTCTGTCCCCCAAAGCCTTGAAAGTGGGCGAACGCATTACAGTCACCTCTGACAGAGCTTTTCAACCAATGTTAAACGACTGGCACTATCTCCGACATTTGGAAAGCAGCCTGAATAACAGCTGTGCTTAAGAAGGGATCACGGAACTATCGGCCAATAACGTGTACCTCCCTGATGCTGAAGGTGTTTGAAAAACTACTAGTTCCTCGAAGCTTTACACACAATCATAGGATTGATATCAACCAGTTTACATACGAGTTATGACTCTGGATGACTTTGGATGCCGTTTTGTATGTTGTGCATTCCATTGCATCTGCTCTGGATACACAATGCAAGACTGTGCGGCTCCTGTTGCTTGATTATACTAATGCCTTTGGGATCAATGATAGATCGCTACTACTCAACCTTTTGTTCGAACACGGCGTTCTCCCATACGAATGTAATGTAATGTGTGACTATTTTACGAATCGCACCGACTTCACGCAGTTATGCGATAGACCTTCTGCAATCCCAACTAATTGTGGGGTTTTACAAGGATATATTCTATCCCTCTATGTTGAGTGTGTTCTCATACCAACCAGTTTCATCCGGTGTTAATACGCTGCTGGCGTTGTCCTAGGGTGTATGACCCCGGTAATTGGGGAATTTTTGAAACTCCAACGTGGATTAGCTGAACTCTTGACCTGGTCAAGCTCATGTTTCCTCTTCCTTAACCCTTCTAAGTGTTGTGCTGTCTCATTCTCCTTTCTCCATTCCTACAGACTGCACTCCTTTTTAAACACCTTTTGGTTTTGAGTAACCAAAGTATTCCTCGTTCATATTCCGTAAAGTATCTCCATGTCCTCTTGTCCAGCAATTTATCCTGGTGGGCGCATATTCTTGAAACTTTTCAAAAAGTCATAGTATTATCCTTTTACTCTCTTAGGCTCAAAATACTCTCCATACCGCGTGCTCTAATTCTGGGTTCTGTAAATGCATGTATTCTCCCTCATTGGCTGTACTGTTCTTCTGCTATTCTCCCCCGGACTACTTCAAAAGAATGATATTCTTTTTGTGTGATCACTAAAATTTATTTCCTGATACTCTGGATTAAACAGAGAATCCCTTGTTGATTTGGTGGCCAGCAAGCATTTTTAACTTCTCATCCAAGATTCTAAACGATCTCTCTCACCCCCACACGCCGCTTTAGCTAGTTCGGAATCCATTTCTTCCACGCGGTCGAAATTTAAAGTTTTGTTTTCCCGTACCTCTTCGTATCGCAACTCCATTTTGCCTTATCTGTCTCGTTTGTTAGTCGACCCAAAAGTAATGATTCAGCAATTGCGAAAAAGTTTGTTTACTTCGGGATGAAATTTTTTGTTGTTCCTGTCAATTCACCACATTTTCCCGCCGATTTTATGTTGTAGTATGTCCGCAGTGTCAGTGTAAGTTGCTGAAAATGCTCCCACACGGGCGTATGAAGTTTACTTTGACCTCACTTCATACTAGCCAATTTCTTTTAAACGTCAACCTTACGAGCACATGCTTGAATGATAGATAACCACTACCGTCCTTTCAGCTGTACTTCTTTTAGAGCGATTATACTGTTATTTCGCGTAACCTTCCCTGGGAAGGGGGTTAGTGCGGCAATGTTGTTCGACTATCAGATCCATGTAGTTGCTTTCAGGTCAGTAGTGTCCCGTGTCCCACACGTCTCGTGACTTCTCTGATCACCGATCTTGAGTTTTGTGTCCGTGAGTTGCATTTACAGTTTGCCGTTGAAAATTCAAACTATTGCAGTGCTGAACCCGGCCAATGATGTCATGCCTCCGGCGTCAATTTCACTGTCTACTCCTTATATTCTGTGTCGCTCCAACAACGCTATCGATGTCCATCTAGTCAAATTATCGGATGAGGTGAAGGTGCAATTTTGTAACTCAACGCGAAGTGATTCACTCGTTCATTATCTGCGTTTTGTATCATCTTGTATCTCATACTGTTACGCTTCTTTTTTCGCCCGTTTCTTTTCCCTCGTTCATACAGGCGTTTATCTTCATGTGTTGGCCGACACACTCGGTAGTATTGGGGTCATCTTCAGTTCTTATCTAGTCACCACCTATGGTTGGAATATCGCGGATCCCATTTGTTCCATGTTCCTCGCCGGTGCAATTGGATACTCAGCTGCCCCATTGTTGCATGACACTCTGAGAATTCTTACCTTGCGAGCACCGGCCTTGGATCAGCCGACCAATCCGGAGTGGATCGTTCATAAGGTACCTTTTTAGCTATCTCATAACTTTTAGTTTCCACTGTGCTATTGGCTTACTCCCCGTCTCCTTTGTTTCTTCGGCATCGCTTTGTACCGCACACGCTGGTTATTTTGCGTACTACGACTAACCATTTAGTGACCGCTCTGCGGTAGGAGTTAACTACACTCACCCCTTTGTAAAACCGTCACTACTCCTCCTCGACGTAGAACTAGTCATCGTTTCAAGTTCAAAATCTTGTGGGTGACGCTTACTTCCTGCTCTTGGCTATTCGGCATTTGCCTTGCCTCTCCTCCGTATTATCTCTCCTTAGCCTTTATCTTGCATCACCACTCCACTCGGTTAGCAACCAACCCCTTTAGTCGATGGGATCTTGGTGCATCAATCATGCGCCTTGTGGATGTCGAGCTTCATACGAAGACTAAACGCCTGATCGTTAGTTTACCGTCGGCCCTTGGGCAGTGGCAACAACACGTATAACCTATAGAAGCCGCTTATCAACAAATTAAACTGGTCCTTCGCAAACGCATACCCATAATGACTTGGGAAGTGCGAAATAAGAAGAGGGAAATATTGGTGACTACAAGCTTGAAGTAAACGTTCAGGGCTATCGTGCAAACACAAGGGGACATCACTTGTGGTTCTTACTACCCCGCGTCATAATCAACCATTACCTCGCAGACAGTTCAACGCCAGGTACGACTTTCATAGCAAACGCGCCACTGATGCAGACTGCGGGTCTCGTTCTGAGTACTCTTGATCCTGGTCTACTCTGAATACCCCGACTGCGGATTACAGTCACAAGTTGTTTCGCGATTGCGACATAACATCTAATCGGAAATCAGTAAACCTCGAAATCTGCTCGTGTTCCGGCATCTAGGCAATTTGCCATCTTCTATCCAATACTGTGGCGACAACACGTCGATGAAAATGGTATAAACACTGGAAACGAACAGATTGTGGTCAAGAACGGCGGTTGTTCCATGCGGCTTTAAAACTAGAACGACTCTTTAAAGGTTTCCATTTATGCAGAAAGCAGTGCACGTCTAATCTGGTAGGTTACTGAATCTATCATTCGTCCTTCGTTGGGAAACAAGTCTTGCAAATATTAGGCATTTACATTTATCGGACTTGCAGATGAACGTGATAGCTTTTTTGAATTCGCAAGTAAACGACAAAAAATTGTAGAATTCTCGGTGGCAGCCATAGCAGAGGTGGCATCAATGGTTGGGAGCATACTCTTGTATGAATTACCGTCAGGATCGCCCTCGGACTTCAGATTCGTAGGCTGAGTTAACAGCTGAGAAGCAGTCGCTGAACATGGGTCTTGAGACCTTGGCGAAAGCTTAAGGTGCTCGTGAGAGTTCTCAGTGGCATGGAATGGGTTGATTCATTCATCCATTTGAGCAGCACTGGTGGGCGTGAAGAAGGGCAGTGTTGCTGAAATGGTTGCCCACGGACTCTACACACGATCGATGGCGATAAAGTTGGTCACTGTGGGAGGTGTCGAATGTTGCGGTGATATCGCTTCGCGAATGCCGCTCACCTGGTTGCCTGATAGCAAAATAATGACTTGTTTTCATGGACTCATCCGATTCACTCTGCTAGAGCTCACACAGAAGATCATGAAAAGAAAAGGCAGTATGTGGGAGAGGCCTAGCACTCGAAAATAATGCAGTTTCCTCCAACGTGAACCAACGATGTGAATAAAGTGGAACTCGAGTTAAACAGTCTGTGTTATGACAGGATGAGCGAGGTAACGATGTTACGTGAAGCTACGCTTAGAAGTACAAGTCCCCTGCACAAGCTGTGGATATGAGAGCATGGAAGTTGTGACGGTGGGCATCCAACTTCCTTCTGATGACGAAACATGTCCGAAACAGGGAGAGAAACACAGGAGCGAAATGATGAAATCAGAGGTCTTAGGTTGTGTTGGGGAGGTTGTGACTATCTTAACTGAACAATAAGCTTAGTTGAGGGAAAAGAGCTGCAATATTCGATGTACAGTCGGTTGGTCACTGGGGCTACCGGATTGCATCGCCGTTGGTCTTCCAAACTTCAGGAATGCTAACATACTTGCTTCGTGAATTTCACGTATATTCACTTGATAGAAAATGGTTTTCCATGCCGTGGGGTTAGGGAACCTAGAGTCATACTAACACGGGTATATTCTTTGGCGAAACCTTCCTACTTTGCTAACTTATTGAGGCTTGTTAGTTGTTCCATGCTTGTAGGACATCGATTTAACCGTTTATCCACAAATCATGCTGATTCTTGACCCCACGAATTGCATGCAACTTGATGCTCTTGCTGCTTACGCGGTACCCCTTTCACGTGGCTTTTGCTCTTGTGCGTCGTCTAATGTGTCCACCTGCGATCACCAGGGTTTTCTATGCTCTCACTGTGGGAACGCTATGCATGCTTACTTTTTACGAGAAGTATGCCTCCCTTTCCGTCTTATCTACTCTTATCCGTAGGTTCTCAGCATAGATGGAGTCTTAGCGGTATACAATCCGTTCGTTTGGTCGCAAGCTCTCCATGCTACTTGCGTTTCACTTTGTGTGCGAGTGGATCAGGATACATGTGAACAACTAATTCTGGCTCAGGTTAGTTAAACCTACTCTTTATTCTTCATCTGCCTTACGCTTTTTTGAACTTTATTATTACGTTTTTGTGCATCTACTGTTTGTTCGGATTGCGACACTCAATCTCAAAAGATGTCTTGATTTACTTCAAAGTAGGCCGATCACTTGTACCGCATCGATAGTGGAGAGCGTGATCAAGTCATTAGTCGTCGACTATTGTGTCCCGGATTCCACTCCCACCTTCGACTAATACAAAACCGATCATGGATTTGGGTGTTGGCAGCGATCAACACCAAAACTTTACCTTTGTCCTGATGGCTGTCACTGTCTGTTTTTATCACGGTCCTTGTTTGCTCATTCCTTCTGTCTCTGTTGGGTAGCGGCAATTCTCATTAAAGTTCATTGCATAACTGGGTTCCCCTCGTATTCCATTGGTTTTTTGACTGCCAGCTGAGAGCACAAATGAGGGTTGCTAAAAGCGCGTCAGCCCTACACCATTATCTTGTATCGATTCTTCGCTGCTGTGCGCTCACAAGCGCTTATGCACGGGCTGGCCACTTAGACCCACATAGGAGCTGGAGCTCCAATTTGTGGTATGGATGTTGCAAATCATGCACCTGAATCACTACACCACAGCTCGCCTACTACTGAGCCTTCTCACTATTATTCATCATATGCTAATGTTTCCTCTATATGCCATGTTCCGTTACCCACAGAGCTACGCCGAGTGACACTTTCCAATTGCTTTTTCATAGCCACTCATACCAGACAAGTCAATGGTAAGGGGTCAAATTAACTCGACCTCAATCTAACCCAATTCAGAAGTTACGGAGGGGTCGATGGATCTCTTATCTTAAAACATAGTCATAGAAGACAACAGATATACGGGTTGCAAGCTCACAGCTCTACTGGCGTAGAACACGAGCGCCATGCATTATCCCTGACGGTGGGACGGCACCGCTCGGTGCTCAGTGGTTCGCTACAGCCTGCCTCAAGCCAGACAGCCTGTAGTCATCTTGGTGCAAACCCGTCAGTGTCCACCTGTGGCTGGCCGTGGTCCCATGCAGACATGCTGAAAGCAATCCACTCGGCCGGATGTCAGTGAACATCCGCATGTGTGCTGTTTGACTTCAAGTTTCTATTCTGGATAATAAGTACCTTCTGGGGACAAGGTGCCTTTACATCGCCTCAGTTCATACACTTCGCAGCACCCTCAATTTGAGTAATCGTGTGTATGTATATATGACGCGTCGATCAGGTTGATCGAAACGCGGAAACAGAGTTCCGTTGGGTACTCAGTTTTAGCGTATCCATAACTCCGTGTAACGACCACTGAGTTGGAGTCTTCGAATTGATTGGGAAAATTGGATGAAGTAACAAGGACATACGTGGTGAAAAATGCTAATGCCGATGATAACAGTTGTGCTGATATAGCGCATCTAGAACACGAGTCCAAGAAAGCCCTCATTTAATGGGATAACAGCTGAGAAAAGTTGACAGTTGATCCGTACTCAGTCGCATCGACCAACTCGTTGGGCGGAACATTTTGGAGAACGTTTCAGTTTTGCTTGTGCGACATTGTCGTTTGCTGAATTATCTGTGGTCAAGTAGCAAAAGGGGGCATCAGCAGTACGCCGTTACCCAATACCGAATCTTTGCTGCTGCGCAACTACCACCAGTCACACGTGTGATAAGAAAACAGCGAGAATCGCCCGTTCCTTACGAAGGCTCGAACCCACGCCCTCGGATTATAGTGCATTTTTGCAATCCTTTGGGCTGCGGAATGTTGGGCTGTTGGTAACATCTCCTACTTTAGAAGAGATTCGATATGCGTTTGCAATTTCGGAACAAATCAAAGCTCATGTTCCTGAAAACATCCATCGTCTTTATATAAAGCTGCAGGTGAGTCGATTGGCTGGTTTTGCCACTCCAGTAAACATCATTTCGGACACTGAAGAGATGGCGTCAGCTGGCAACTGTTAACTGCGAAAACAGACTTTGTGCGAAAATCATCGAGGTCTTAGCCTTCTTTTCACTGCCTTCAGGCTTTTTTACGGGTATCATTCTTTCACGATTTATCCGTCCCTGTGAGAACCGAATCACTGAAAGCCTGTCTTGGTCGTGGTCGGATCGACAACGTATTTACTATTCGTCTAGTGTTAGAATAGAGGAAATTATAGACAACCGACTGTGGTGGTTTACATTGATTCGTAAACCGTCATCGACTCCCTTGACTTTGCCATCTTGTGGCATTACGTATCAGTGAGGGCGTGTCAGTGAAGCTCCTTTCCCCCCTGAAATCTCTCTACCGCAACTCGAGGCTGAGTCAGGTTATACTAGAAGCTGTCTCCTGAGTACCACACGACCAGCAGTTCTCGCCACGGTTCTACATCTTTTTCCTCCTCTTCAACTTTGTGATCAAGATGGTCATAAGTGATTCCGTTTACCCAGCGTCTTCCGGGGTGGAAATTCTGCCAGGTGACCGACTGCCAAACTGAGTTTCCGGACGACATATCTATATGCCGGACGCATTTGTTGTGCAAGCACTGTTAGATGGACTGATGCGTGGCGCTGCATACTTCGGTATGCGATTTGTATCTTCAAAGGGCAAAATGCTGCTACAGGACTGCCACATAACACCATCGACTTTAGACATCACCGAACGACTGCTAGAAGTGATGGGTCGGTTCACCTGCTTCGGTGGCTGTGTCACCTCTGGTGGTCACATCACGGAAGTGGTTGCTTCGTATATTAGCAACCCATCTGTGGTTTTCCAGAGACTCAACCATCTATGGAGATGGCGGGATATCAGCCAGTCAGTAAAAGGTACGGTGTATAGGGTGGCGAAAGGGCTGGTGTGACTGTATGGATCAGATACCTAGCCAGTTAGCAATGAACACATTAAACGCTTTGCGGTGTTTTATCGGAGGTTCTTGCGGAGTGTTGCTCACATCTGGTAGGAACACCGAGTGGGCAGTGAAGGTTCGCTAGTGGGTTTTTGGGAAGAAACTTTCTGGTGCCTTACTAGAGTGCCTCACTTACAATGACTAAGTCATGTCCTCCGTATGCTACCTGATGATCGGCTTTCCGTACGTGCACCATACGCTATCACTGCACCAAATTGGGCGAAATCGCAAAGTGGCCATTCGTTGACTTGGCATAAGGCCTTGAGGAAACTGACTGAGCATCTTTGTCAAGATCTTGCGTGTAGTCTTCGTGGACGGTGCCTCTGGATGGTGCACATCAGTGGTCAGGGACTCTGTCAGACATGGCGCAGTCGCGTAGTCATTGGCATTCTCTCATTCAGTTACTTGCAACTAGCCGTTGACATTTTTCCATCCCGACCATTTTTGCACACTTCTTTCCCGATTGATTTTTCTTTTTAATATGTTTGCGTTCACTTTCCTTTTCACGCCTTTGTTCTACTTTGTTTCTCTGATGAAATGACTCAGGGCAACTGGATCCACTACACTTCGGTGCCGAGATGTCTCTTGTCCAACTGAACTGTACTGAACTATATCCTTCGAATAATACTACCCACTCTGCGTATGTCAGCCATCCAATTCGAAGAGTTTCTTTGATCCTTTCTTGCGCTATCGATCTGATCGAACGCAACCAAAAATCAAGGGTCACATTAACAAATTCAATCAGGTTGACCTGATACACATCTAGATTCATTATGGCACTGATTAGGTTGCAACGTTTTTGCTATATACCGATCGTTCGAGCTCGTATTCCATAATCCTACCTTTGCAGGCTATCTCGCACTGTCGCGAATATGTTGTTGACTTTTTTATGCGCTACGATATTAACATTTTCGTCATCTTTTTGCCTTAGATTCAAGATGTCATATCTGCCCATTGTAATGATGTCCATCATCTCACCATACAAGTGGAGAAGGAAGTCGTGCAACATGCTTTGCAGGCTCTTGGTGTAAAACCGACAATTCTGTTGCATTTCGCGAGGTTTGAGCATCCGAACCATCAGGTATACTTCTTGGCTAGTCCAACTGACAACTCAGAACTTGGTCGGCGCCTCGTTGCCTCGGAGACAATCACAGTGTTGCCGATTTGAATTTACGTTATTTTTCACTTCATGTGTTGTGCCCGCTACATATGCGTATGCCCGCCAGTTGCTGTGCTGTCTGTTGTGTTTTTTCAGATGATCTATTCTGTTTTATTTTTCTGCTTTGAAATTCATACTTTCCCTGCCTCAGTTACGTCGCATTGTGTCTTTGGTTTATGCTTCGTCGAACCAATGGTATACAATTTGCCAGACCCTTTGAAATCAGTTTTTTAGCCTGCACTGCTACCTTGTTTAACTACAGAAATGGTCCGTTGAAAACCCTTTGTTCTCGTCACCCGCGCCTTCATTTGTCGGTTGCACGATTAAGAAGCACCAGTTTTGAGGCTGAACAGTACACGTTCCCCACCGATTCTTCATTGTTGATGAGGTTCGGATTTTGCTATTTGGGATCAGTTATCCTGAGTTGCACACTAGGCTTCGACGCCTTCGCCTTGTGCTGACCAATATCTAGCGATTTGTGTTCGTGTGGTAGTTAAACCTTCTTGCCCATAGCTGATGTATTTTTGTTACTGCGATGCTAGTAGCTTTGTCACTTGCTACTTCATCAAAGCCAATCCTGCGCAACGATTAAAGTACTTGCTGCCGCATCTAATTTCGCCAACCCTCGTCTCGCAATGCGGCTGGACCCTGATGCAATGCAACAGTTTGCGTATTCCGTCTTCTTGACTTATACAGACTTGTTCATCTTGCAAGCCTTCTACCTGCAATATTTGGTTAGCCCATAATTACACCGTATTCCTCCGCCTGACATGCTATTCGGGCGAGGCTCCCAGTCATCTTCTCTAAAACCAAGCCACTTGCTAGCAAACTTCGATAATCGGTACCCAATCTGTTGCTCGATGTTTACTTTGCGAAGGATAGTCATTGGTAAGAATGGAGGTACACTACGGTTAAAATCTTCTCCTTCACTTACCCTATTTTTTCGTCTTAAAACTCCCAACCCGACTTCATCATGATTACGCTAGATAATGGTGACTTTTCACCCGAATCAAATCATTCACTGCTATAAATGGTATTGGGTAATAGTCTAATGTTTAACTAATATTCTCCTTAAATTATGGTAACTGAACCACTACTGAATACTCGAAGGCTCCCTGTGATTTCAGGATCTCTGAACTGTTTTTGTGCATTTGCGACTATGGGAATCATCCGGCTTAGTTTCTTTCTTGTATCTACAGCATCACCCTGAAAAATACGTCTTTTTTCTTGATTTACCACTTGCGCCTTACAGATATAAAAAGTAACTTTTACAGTTGTTTTTTCAATCTTACTTCACCTAAATTGTGGCATCTCACCCTAAGAAATGTTAAGTAATCGTTTCTTACTCATTATGCCCTCACTAAACTTTCTCATCCGAAAATTGCATTCAACTGTGTCGCTTGATATAGCTCTAGCAAATTTTAAATAAATAAATTTTATTCTCAAGGTTTAAAACAACTAAATGCGTTTACACGGTTATTGCCACCGTTTTCTTAAAACCACTACACAGCCAAGCCGGGTAATGCTCACAAATTCCCTCAGACAGTCTCTTGATGGTTCTTCCGATGTATCTTACTCAACATGTACAAGAGGAAGAATATATATATATATATATATATATATATATATATATATATATATGTGCGCTTAAGCGACTTACCCATTTTCCTTGGCTCCTCACCATAATGACCCGTGTTGGGGAACACACCACTGACATGTCCCTAACTGCTTCCTAACCAACCACCTACATCTGTCATTCAAATAACCTAGGCCTTTGAACTTTGCCATTGTCTGACGTATTTCTCTCAAACTTTTATTTGTTGCAATGGCCCAGAAAAGGACCGTGTACAGAAATTTAACCGTTACTACTTGGTTTACACGCGTTTGTTTCTCCCAACGGCTTTGCATCTCGCATGCATTGAAGGCCTCAGTTTTTGCAGATATTCGCAAATAATGACACGGTTCCAAGCATTAATAAGGGACTCAATAAATTCACTTTTGATCATTGACTGATCCTTTGCTATTTATACTGATAATCTTCATCAGAAGTTTGGGTTTAAATCTGGAGGCTCAGTTGGTCATTCGAGCATCCTCATGAACTCATTTTTCATCTCTTCTGGGACTGTGTTTGCACGATGGCATAGCGCATTGCCATCCTGGAAAAAGTGTTATTTCTTCAATAGCTTCTTATCCGGTTGTAACACGGCCCGTAGCCTTAAGGGCCACAAGCCCGCTTTGTAATCCCGAGGGCGCGGAATCGAGCATGAGTAGAGGACTGATCGTCCCTCGCAATACCCCCTGCCCACGCGCGACTAGTGGTGGCAAAGCATTGGTAATGCGTCTCCGCTTACTGCTGGTACCACTTTTTCTCCGCATATCTACGTGTACTCGCCATGCCATCAACTTCATCCATCCAACTTCATCGGCAGCCATACAACCGCAAATCTTTATTTCTTTTGGATGTTTGATATAGCGATCGATATGCTGTGAAATGAACTCATTCCCTTTAAACCGTCCGACAAATGTGTTGTCGTGATTCCCACGAATGCAGAAGTGACTAATCACAAAAGAACCACCCCCTCCCCAATCCTTCTTAGTCCAACATGAATATTTTCTGGCCCATGTTATTCTTCGTTTCCTTTGTGTATCAGATAACAGTAGTTTCTTCCTTTCCCTGCAACTTCAGACCGCATTTCAAACACCGTCTTTTTACTGGCTAAATATACGCATTCACAGAACACTTCTTCCATTTTTTAAGCAGCTGTGGAGATATAAGCTCCTTATCACTTAAGGATTTCTTCAGGAACACCCGGTTATCTAGGTCTGTTTACTTCTTTGGTCAACTAGATCAGTGCTTGTCATCTGTGCTTCCAGTCTGTTTGCTTTTTAGTAAATCTGACGACTTTCAATCGTTCATTTGTTCTCCGAGCTTGGCGGTTTTGTCGCAAACATTTCACCACCATGCGAGGTGGCATCCTCAGTGCACTGAGATGCGGCTTGCGACAAAACCGCCAAGCTCGGAGAACAAATGAACAATTGAATCATCAACCCGAGCTGATGACTTTGATTACAGCCAACCATTGCCGCAATTCCCCTTCTGGAGTAACCTTCAGGAAGTACAACTACTTTGTTCACATGCTCAAAGCATCTCATCATAAAACCTTTCTCAGTCTGACAAACAAGTGTTATGAGTTTGCACTAAAACTACGGAATTGCGACAAATATGCTGTCCTCTTATTAGACAGTTCTACATTTCTTTTTGAGCAAAATCACATTGTTTGAAAAGTCGGTTCCGATACCAATTTGACGCAGCATTCTACAGAGACTACACCATGGAGGTTGGTCTACACAATATGTTGTGGCCAAAACGATTTTAAGCATAATAAAAACACTAAAACTGACGAGAGTAATAATTTCTTAATAAAATGATATATAGTTTTGTGCATCTCTTTTTGTTTACACGTCAAAGCTACCAAACTACAGATCTGTTTTATCCCACACTGATGCAGGACCTTCTTGAAAGCGCTGTACATGTTGTTACTCGACTGATCGGCCATTGTCGGCTCGCTTTCGTCGCGACACACTTGATTATTGAAGTCGAATTTCTCATACTCGTTAGCAATAGTTTATGTATACATAAATATAACGTCCAGATCACGTCACAACCTGTCAAATGAAAAGAGCGAAAAAATAAGTAGCGTCTGCGTAGCAAAAATATCTGAAGGACTTGATTAACACGTGATGCCACATCCTGTACAAGGCATACCAGGGCTGCAAGGCCCCGCGCCATTACATAGTTGGTGATTATCATATTTTGTTATCTGTCCGTTTCCGATTTGTTCAAACTATGGGTCCGACCGGGGGTCTTTTCTCCTCTCTGAAACAATAAGAAAATTACGTTCATATAATGAAATTCAACTTTTATCTTACAGGAACATGCATCATAAGAAGATGTTTTTCCTAAGTATTCCAGTTCTTTATCAGATTTTCCTTTTAGATCACCGGTTGTTATTATCATTAGGGCATCTTTGTATTTAGTTCATCGATGCCCAGAATTAAACCATTCTGGTTTCGTACATCACCGCTACTGTAAGGAGTCACACGACGCTTGCGCCTTCACACCACTCTTTTCGTCACCATCACTTTTTGCACCACGCCAAGGCAGACGCTGCGTTCGAACGTCTTCCGCAGCAGCCGACCAGTAGCTCCGATGATGTATTCTCACCGATGAAAACCGAGTCTCATATTTGCTCCCAGTCGTCAGGCCGATCTGACCCTAAAGGCGAGGAAATTGCGCTACTTCGTTGCAGGATAGTAACAATGAAGGCTTCGAAGCAGCATATGCCATGGTCAGATGCAGACCAATTTTTGGATGCTGTTCATTTCGGCTCATCTGTGCCCGCACCGAGTACGTCTCGTTTGACACGAAAGCGCAGCATTTTCTATGCACGTTCTCAGTCAGATAACACCAAACCCGTCGCAGAAGTATGTTAGTGTCACCGCCAATATGGGGAAGAGCTAGACGTTGTCGGGCTCCCTGCATTAGGCACGACCCAGCCGTTTCAGGGAAAGCGAATAGCTTACATACTAGCACGACCAACGCATACGTCAATAACCAAACAAATCGCCTGTTTTACGTTAAGAATCGACTTTTTTCTATCGCTTTCCTCGTCGACAAGGGAGCAGTAGTCAGCGTCATACTTGCGAATGCGAACCTCAAGCACTCAAAGCCCAAGTACAACCTGCGTGTGGCCAACGGTTCTACGATAGCTTCATTCAGTCGGCGCTTGATGAACCTGGACCTCGATCTCCGCCGAGGATTTCAGTGGGTTTTTGTTGCGGGCACGTCAAATATTTCCGCAAAAACACGCCAGAAACCCCGGCAGAATGGCTGTGGAAACCGAGGTCCAATTCCTCCCCACAACGTAGCAGAGCTCAGCCACTCCGAGACGCGGCCCAAACTGCGCACCTTTTGACAATGGTCATTTGCAAACTACCACCTCTTCGTGGTGACTGTTTTTCCTAACTTAATAACACAGTGCATTGGCTGTGATCGCCCTTTGTTGGTCGTAAAAGAGCCTACAGAAGCCCACTTGCCTTTTTTTCTCTTCGCCTCACTTGGGAGTCGGTCGGGTCACGTGATTGCGTGTGAGTCGTTAGCTGACCAGCCTTCGCGTCTATCGTAACCCCCCTCTCGTGTGCGTCCGTTCCGAGGGCTCAGCGTCTATCCGAACACGTGCGGCTAGGATCGTTCACACGCTCGCTCAGTTATAACAGTGCTCAATTATAACAGTTTTCTTGGTTTCGTCTGTACCCTTCGCGATTATCGGTATCGACTTCCTCCGACATTTTGGGTTGTTTGTTGTTGCTGGTCGCCACAGACTTTTAGACGACCGTACTAGACTGGGGGTTCAAGGCGTTCTTACGGACGCCCCGATAATTTGTCTCGTTTTTCGAATCGCCGATGTATCATCAGAGTATGCGGAGTTACTGTCTGAATACCCGCGACTGGTACGACCAGCTGCAGAGCTTCCGCTAGTCACGACAGAGGTCGTTCATCACATTGTCGCGCGCGGTCCGCCAACGAGTGCCCGACCAAGACGAGACGCCTGTGACAAATTACGTGCCGCAAGAGCTGAATTCGTCACATGCTTCAGCTCGACATCATAAGACCATCCAACAGTCCATGGGCGTCGCGTCTCTACATTATTCCTTAATGGACCATGGGAGACTAGCGTCCTTGTGGCCATTATCCATTGCTAAACAATAAAACCACGCCTGATCGCTATCCGTTCCCACATATCGTGGACCTCACCGCCAGTCTTGCAGATCAATACAAATTTTCAGTAAAATCGACTTCGTGCGCGCTTCCAACCAAATTCCGGTAGACGAAACGGACATCGCTAAAACTGCTGTGACAACTCCATTTGGTTTGTTCGAGGTTCTGCGCATGCCATTTGGTCTAAAGAATGTCGCACAAACTTTTCAGCGCTTCATCGACCAAGTTTGTCGAGGCGTAAACTTCACTAATGCCTACCTCGACGTCATCTTAATCGTGAGCTCCTCGCGCAACGAGCATTTACGCCACGTTCGAAAGCTTCTGGATCCTTCATCTCAACACGGGGTGACGATCATCGCGGAAAAATGTTCGTTTGGTGTCGATTCGGTCAATTTTCTCGGCCACCATCTCTCCTGCAGTTGTCGTGTCACTACAGGATACAATTTAGGCCATCGTCGACTACGAGCCTCACTCTTTTAAAGAGCTAAGATGCTTTGACATCCTCGTCATCTTTCATTGTCGTTTCATACCTAGTTGCGCTTCGCTTATGCAACCCCTCACGGACCTTCTCCTGGGCAATCTTAAGAAATCGATTTTCCTGCTGCAGCACGCACCGCCAGTCCAGGCTCTGAAAAAAGCTATCGCCAACATAGCTTCTATAACGTATCACGAACCGGCAGCCCCACTGTCACTCTGTACCGACGCTTTTGGCGTGGCAGTTGGGGCGGTTTTGCAACAAAAGGTAGTAGACACTTGGCAGCCGTTGTCATTTTTCTCCAAACGTTCGCAACCTGCCGAATCTCACTACAGTACTTCCGTTAGAGAATTGTTAGCCACTTATTTATCCACTCGTCATTTCCGACATGTCTTAGAAGGCCGCTTCTTTGCCGTTTCCACAGTCCACAAACCCCTGACTCACGTGCTCGGCACGACTATCGACCGATACTCTCCTAGTCACGCCACCTAGACTATATCGCTCAGTTTACGACCGCCAAACGACATGTTTCAGGTGTGCACAACACAGTCGCCGATGCACTTTCCCGAATTCAAGCAATCTCAGCTGACTCCGGCACAGCTATTAACTTGGCAGCCATGGTCGCAGCGCAGTTCAATGATCCTGAGGTTGATATACTCCGCAGGTCTTCCTCACTGAACATACGACCCGTTCCGCTGACATCGTCAGACGGAACTATACTTTGCGATTTATCTCTGGGCACGCCGCGTCCAGTCGTTCCACGCAAGTTTCGGCAGGCCGTGTTCGACACATTGCACGGCTTGTCTCACCCAGGCGTTCGTGCATCGGTTAGAGTCGTAACCGCACGATTTGTTTGGCGCAATGTCAATCTTGACGTTCGTACTTGGGCAGCTGCTTGGTTTCTGTGTCAACGCGCAAGTGCATAAGCACACGAAAAGCCCAGTAGGAACATTTCCCACGCCAGGCGCACGTATCCATCGCGTGCATGTCGACCTCGTAGGTCCTCTGCCGCCTTCGAAAGGCTCTGTGTATCTGCCGACCTGTATCGATCGCTTTACTAGATGGCCTGTGACCGTCCCTATCGCAGATTGCTCTTCGTAAACGGTAGCGAAAGCTTTTCTGAAGCGCTGGCTAGCTCAATACAGCTGTCTAGCCATCATGATCACCGATCGAGGGTCACATTTCTCGTCGACTTTTGCCACGTTGCTTAAGGCTGTCGCCACATTCAGACGACGGCGTATCATCCGGCCGCTAACGACGTGGTGGGGCGTTTTCACCGCCGGTTGAAGTCAACGCTACGTGCGCAAACCGATCCTTCATGGTCTGAAACACTTCCCCTCGTCCTCCTAGGCTCTCAGTTAACAGAAAGATGTTGACGTGATGTACATCGACTTTGGTAAGGCATTTGACAGAGTGAACCACGAGGTCCTCATTCGTAAACTAAGGACATACAGAATCGGTGGCACGCTACTTCAGTGGTTACACGAATTTATTGCTGGAAGGAAGTTTAGAGTACAGGTCAATGACCACCTGACAGACTGGTTCCCATCGACCAGTGGCGTGCATCAAGAAACTATACTTGGGCCAGTATTATTCCTTATTCATATCAACAATCTTCCGCAGCAGTTCCAGTCACCATGTGTCCTGTATGCAGGTGATTTGAAAATCTGGAGTCTCATTGAAAACCAGGACGACTGCGCTCGCCTCCAGCATGACTTAGCTCGACTGTCAACGTGGTCCACTGCAATGCAACTCCCTCTTAATGCAAGCAAGTCGGAGTTCATCAGTATCACCAGACGTCCAGCCACACGATCATACACCTTGGACGACCAGTTGCTCCACCCTAACGCATCTGTCAAAGACTTAGGAGTTCTCTCGCGACATATTATGTGATCATTAGAAAATACAGAGAAATTGTACCGTGCGGGACTTCGTATGCTCTGGGCATTAAGACGCAGTTTCTCCACATGGTCCTTAGAAACCGTCCCTCACCTATTCACCTCGCTCATTAGACCAATTCTTGAATACGGTGCCCCAGCTTACCATCCGATAACTCAGTGGAAAACTGAAAAGCTGGAGAAAATACAGCATATCGCAACTAGACTGCTACCGAGTCTACGAAAGCTTCCGTATGAAAAACATGAAAGGCTCGGACTCTACACAGTATCCTGCCGCCTAGTAAGATTTGACCTTATTATGACCCATCGAGTACTACACCTGAATCACTTCCCCATACTGCGGCCAATATTTCACCTGCGAGAACCCTGTAACACCGGAGGACACCGTTACAAGCTCAGGGTCTCCTGCATGAACAAAGTATCACATGGGCTTTGTATAGAACGAAGAATCGCAAACTTATGGAATACATTACCACAAGGATTAATAGAGGCCGATTCTGTGCAGTATTTTAAAATACGTATCGACGATTATTTCAGAGACCTGTGCTTTTGTGAAACTATGCACATACAATGCCAAAAGAAGACATTGTATGCCCGGAACTAATGACACCAAAAGAAATTCCTAACCGAACAAGGATAAACAACTAACTGACCAGACACAACCGCTGATGATTCACAACTAAATTTTCTTGATTTTTCATAATTCGATAGAGTTGTACAGAAAC